GGGGATAGCTCAGGGGTACAACACTTGTTTAGAATGTCTGAGGCCCATCACCAAAAAAGAAAAAAACAGAGAGAGAGAGAAGTCAGTAAAAATAATTGCATACAACTGTGAAATGTTCTTCAGAGAAAGGAGTACTTTACCTTTCCCAATTCTGTATCAAAATTGTAAATAGGCATTGGCCAAAGTGGAAACTTAATCCAAAGATTTGGAAGGGTGAAGTAGATGGATCTTGAGTTCAAGGCTACCCTGGACTACATGAGACCCTGTCTCAAGAACAAAAACCTGCTGGGCACTAGTGATTCTCAACTGTAATCCTAGCTACTCAAGAGGTTGAGAGATCTATGGATCCTGGTTCAAAGTCAGCCTGGGGTGGAAAGCTGTTAAGATTCTTAGCTCCAATTAAATAAACATCAAAAGGACAGAAGTGGAGCTAAGGCTCAAGTGGTAGAGTAACAGCCTTGAGTAAACAAAGCTCAGGGACTAAACCCAAGCCCTGAGTTCAAGTACCATTACTGGCACAAAGCAACAACAACCAAGAAAAAAATATCTTGTATATCTGTTGATACTCCATTAGACACAACTCTAAGAATTTTCAACCTGTAAAAAGAGGCATACTTCCTGCAGAAGCAAAACATTACCTCCTTTTTCTTCTAGTCCAACTCTAGGTCCTCAAATTTCTGAGGAGAATCTGCAGATGAGTTACACAACAGCTGGTCACTGTTTTTGAGCAAGAACAGCTGGATCCCTCAGAGGGGAAGTGATATTTAGATGCTTGCTAGCTCATATCACCATCTAACAAAATATTGGCAGTGCTATAGAATATAGGAAGAACAGTTTTAAGACATTCAAGTTCTTTAAAACCTGCACTTCTGAATGCAAGGGAATAATCAAAATTCATAATGGAGAAACATTCCTATATAGAAAATTTCCTGATTTATTCAACTAAAGCAACATCAGGATTTTTTTTTTTTTTAATCTTTTTTTTTTTTTGGGTCCGGTCATGGGGCCTGAACTCTGGGCCTGGGTGCTATCCCTCAGCTCTTCAGCTCAAGGCTAGCACTCTACCACTTGAGCCACAGCGCCACTTCCGGCTTTTTTCTTTTTGCTTATGTGGTGCTGAGGAATCGAACCCAGGGCCTCATGCATACAAGGCAAGTGCTCTACCACTGAGCCACCGTCCCAGCCCATCAGGATTGTTTTGATAAAAGATATGATACATGCACAGAGGAAAGTGTTACTCTATAAACAAGTATTAACAGCGTAGGGTGAATGAAACCACTAAATATTTATCTGTATACTGTACAAAAAAAACAACAACAAAAAACAACAAACCCTGGGTTTGGAATTGGGAGTATAGCTCAGTAGTAGAGGGCTAGACTAGCAAGTGTGAGGTTCTGGCTTTGGTTGTCAGCACCAGAAAAAAAAAACAAAAACATGTAAGCAAATAAAAACAGTGAACATAAATTACGCATGTTAGGGCTGAGAAGGTGGCTCAGTGGTAGAGTGCTTGCCTTGCATGCATGAGGTCCTGGGTTGGATTCCTCAGCACCACATAAGCAGAAAAAGCCAGAAGTAGTGCTGTGGCTCAAGTGGTAGGGCACTAGCCTTGAGCTGAAGAGCTGAGACAGCACCCAGGC